CCATACGTATAAGCGACCCACAATTCTAGTATTCCTGGATTTCCAAGGCGCATCCGATTCGGTTGACCGGTCTGTTCTTTTTGAAATGCTTGCCCACCAAGGAATGCCCCGGAAGTTTGTAAACATAATGCGTTCTTTGTATTCTCAGACTTCCGGACGTGTGAGAGTGTACGGAGAGCTCTCCAAAAGCTTCCGCACACAAAGCGGTGTCCGTCAGGGATGCCCACTCTCTCCATTCCTTTTTAACTTTGTGATCGATGAAATAATGAGACGAACGCTGGAGGGTCTCCAAAACCCTGGTGTTCAAATAGCCAGTGAAGAAAACCTTGTCGATCTGGAATATGCAGACGACATCGTTCTCATGTTCGAAGATAAGGAAAAGACGCAAGTATTCTTGGATGAACTGACCAAAGTCATCCCGTCCTCTGGTATGCACTTTGCACCCACAAAGTATAAGGTCACGCTGGGGGACGTGCAGTCACTGAACACGCCACTTACGATTCATGGAGAGGCACTGGAAGTTGTGGAGCGTTTTACGTACCTTGGAATTGTATTAGTTCTTCAGGTGTTCGACAATCGTTTTCTCATGTTTTTCCATCGGCCATGACAGTGACATGTGCGGGTCAGCGGGCGTCTACAGTCTCAGGCATATCGTAATCAACCTTCAAGCCTCGATGCCAGGTTTATCTGGTTGCTTTCAGGGTTCGCACTCTGAATCAAGCAGGACAACGGAATTGTTGCTCGCAACTCACTTGACATAGGTATGCTGCGTGGTAGAAGCATGGATTCAAAATCCAAGCATAGTCGATGAACTAACTGCCTCGTCATCGTCGCCATCATGGTCACCATGGACAACACATCAGTGTTTATCATTCATGCTTCGCTACCATGCAACCATAATTCATTCAGAAGCCTCATTGTGAAGACGAGTGAAACTGAATGAGGAACTGATCTACTGCAATCATTTTGAGGTGCACACACCTCCAAGCACCCATCCAATTTAGGTAGAGGCTGATAACAGGAAGGACATCGATTCAGCTCCGTTTTTTGCAGAGTCCTAAATCGTACACAGCTGGGATCATGCGGACCCCATCCCGAAAGCGGCTCAGGGGGGCGAGATAGTTCAGTGTTTAGAGCGTGAAGGTTCTTGGTTCGAACCCGATCTCTGCCTCTCGACTTCCGCTGTCTAGACTTTGGCATCTTGGCAGTATCCCAGCCTTCGTGCTTCCTTCGGGTGGCATGGCAGCGGACACTGAAAGGGTGTCACAGCTGGACGATTTTTTCACTCCTGAAGATGAGTTATGTTGGCAGTACGAGCTCGAGATAGCTCAGTAGATAAGGCGTCAAATTACCGATCGGAGAGTCCGTGGTCCGAACCTAAACTCAGTGTATCAACTACTCCGGTCGAGGTTTGGACAATATGGCGGCATTTCTGCCCTCTGCAACGACTGTACGAAGGTCTGTATAAGACGGCTTGAAACCACGCAGAACCGTTGAGCACAAAAGATAGTCAATTAGCAAAGAAACCCGCTGAGCACTGGTGAAAGAATAAGCAATGATGGAACATGCACTGGGTATGTGACACAAAATACGCCTAGGAAATGTTGAAGTTTTGAGGTGGGACTATGCGGCCACGGTCACTAAGTGGTGGAAGTCACCAACCGTCTATTTGAATAGAATAGAATGTGTAGAATTGGTGTCTGTAAGAAGAGTCGTCCTGGATCGGTCGAGCTGACAAGTGGCTGCTTGTGATTATCAGGAAGAGTCATTAGTCGAAATAGCTTAGTTCTCAAGTACATAGGCAAAGCCGGTTCTGCTCTCTAAACAACCGATGTTGTCAGACGTGGATTTAGACCAGAGGCACTTCGGACGTGATTCTGCGCTCTCTTTTCCGTGACGAACTCGAAACACACTGCACTCGTTTTGTTGGTTGATGAAGCAATTATTAAAATATTCTGGCTTGAGGAGACTTAGGGTTGAGGACCGAAGCTACTGCCTGGAACACCGGTATTTTTAACGCACTTCAGAAATTTGTTCTGTCAAGGCTTGCGACGGTTCTGTTAGCTTTTTCTTCTTTCACAGGAATTTTGGACCACAAGTCTGGCTTAGTTAAGCAAGTGGTTCTATTCGTTTTGGGTCTCATGTGATTTTTCCGTTAAAAGCTAATTCCACTATCCACTCACCATAAAGTTTGAGTTGCCTATCGAATACCTAATGTGCTTTCCTGCAATAATTTTAAAGAAGTGTCTTCTATTTAGCAGTTTTTCTTTTTGTACATTGCCAGGAATTCCGAGTTTTTTCGCATCAAAAGCATTGTTGCAATTGTTTACGCCTGTGCACTGTTTTTTATCTTCTCTTGAATGACATATCTGAATTTCTCTCTACGAACAGCACTTATGGCCGCGGCTGGCTATTATGGCGTTTCACTTCTTACCGGGGTCCAGGTCCCCAAGGTTGGGATTGCTTGCATCAAATTCATTTTAAAAGGAAGTAGGTTCTCCTGGTCGTTCCACGTGTGATCCTTTTAACCATTCTTTGTTAGCTGCTGTCGGAGTTGCGCATGCTACAGGATCGTATGTTTCATCGCGATTTTCCGGGGACACAAATCACTGGGGCAACCATCTGGTTGGCGGTATTGCTGCTGGCATAGTTTCTGGCAGTCATGGTAGGTTTTCCCGACTATGTGAAATGCATGATTTGCGCACCGAACATTTCAGGATTTACTCTCACTGGTGTTTTGGTTTTAGGTAGAATGAGACTGCTTTGTGTTCACCCAAATCTTATTTTAATAGTATGCTTACCAAACACAACTTAAACACCTGTGCCCTAGCACTCTTTTCCACCACTAGATTGCTTTGAGAGTACTTTTTTGGATGAAAATATTGTGATGTCTAAGAAGTTTTCGACCTAAAATCTTCAGCGAGCCCTCCGATACTAATCAAATTTAGTTTCTGCAGGAGGATTCCGCCAAGACTGTTTCGGAATCAAACACAAGACTGTGGGTGACGTTAGCAAGTGACTCTGCAGTTACTTGGGTGTCTTGCTGACCATCATCATCCTTGACAACATCACACCGCTATTACATACGACACTTAGCTGTCACACATCAGGAGGTTTTCCAGCTCATTTAGTCCAACTCAGTTTATCAGCCGCATGTAAGGTGGTCGGGGTCGCCGCAGCTTATAACAATGTATAATCCAGGTTAGGAAGACAAAGAAGAATGAAAGACAGAAAACCTTGAGTTGGTGATTGGGAACAAAATATTAGGTATGACCCCACCATTTTGGTGACGTGGCTGTTGCGGCTATCTCCACCTCTCATGTACGAGTACAACCAAAACCATTTATTATGTGTTCCATGCTGCGTCTGCAGCTCCAGCGTTGTGTGCCTGATGGTTTTCTCTGATTGAGACTGTCATTAAACAGGTTATGGCGACCAACCAACCAACCAACCAACCAATCAGTCAAATTATCACTTATCAACCTTGTGCTGTAGGCACAAAGGTTCCAGCTGCTATGGTTTTGGTGATCGGAAAGTAGTATAGTGTGGGACATACAACCAAGTTCAGGAGACGATGGCATGTATAGGTAGTTCGGCAACTGGCTGAAGGGAAGAAAAGCACTTCGCCGCGGAGTTGTTTATTAGAAAATACAACTAAACAGCAACCAAGTTCAGGAGACGATGGCATGTATAGGTAGTTCGGCAACTGGCTGAAGGGAAGAAAAGCACTTCGCCGCGGAGTTGTTTATTAGAAAATACCAACTAAACAGTTACAGACTATTGGACAGGAAGCAAAACTCATCCTTTAAAATTGAGTGTCCGTCTTCTTCTTGAACGCGTCTTCTTGAACTTCCCTGGATATTCATTGACTATCACGCAATTGTAAACGGATGCTACGAAGCAGTTTCGCTAATTCCGTAATGAATCTCACTTTAGATTAGATCAAGGTGGGGTTACGAGAAAACCACACACTACTCGCATGCCTCATCGGCAATATCTACCGTTACAAGCTTAGCTTTGCATTGATGGCTAGAGGTTTGATGCGCGAGTACCACTGGCTATGCGATTCTGCCAGTTGGGTCAACGTCATTAACCATTGGTGAGTTGAGTTCTCGGGTCTTCATCCAGGGAGGCGGCAGTTGTCAACCCGGCTAAGTTTACTGATGAGTGTCTTCATACTTCGTTACCACGTCATACACTGCCCACCTCTCGACTGCTTCTACTCAGCACAAGGCTGGGCAAAAATATCTCTGAGAGGCAGACGGTCTTCTGGTATGGAGAGTAAATGTCCTAACCAGCGTAACCACCGTCCTATGAAGCGTGAGTAATTAACCTGTCGCGGGAGAGTTTCTCAACATTACTAATCCGATGTTTCCACCATACCCGACCAATGTTTCGGAGACACCGGTTGTCAAACACTGACAGATTTCGTCTGCCCTCTGCAGGTAGAGGCTACGTTTCTGATCCACAAAGCAGTGTGAACGCTGCAAAGTAAACTCTGCCCTTGACAGACAAACTGACGTCACGTCTGCGCCATAGGTGTCGGAGGTTGGCAAAAGCTGTCCTGGCCTTCCCGATGCGAGAAGTAATCTCATCTCCAGCCATTCCACGAGCACAACTGCCCAAGTAAACAAATTTATCTACGCGTTAATTGATGAGAGAGGGCCTTGTCCTACACCACTGAGCGTGGCGAAAGCTTGCCGTTTACTCGTACGCGCCCACAGGAACTCTCATACAATACCCTCATAAGACATGGATTTGGAAGGGACGTATTTGTTTGCCAGACCGCCGAAGTTTCTGACAATCGACATGATCAAAAGCAGCTTTCAGATCGTTAAAAACGACCAACATGGGACAATTGGAGAATTGTTTTCAAAGAAAAGATATGGCCGATGCATCCTTGACTATGGTGAAATCCAGCTTGATTCTCAAGAACCAGATGTGGCGCATACCAGGCTGACGCCACGATGGTTTTCACATGATGTTGTTGCGCTCCTTTTGAAAACTGGGATGACGGTCGAGGAGCACCATTCGACTGGTATTCTGGTTCCGTCTCGAATTTTGTGCAGTATGGATGTCAGTGGAGCTCGCCATCTCTAAAAAGCGCGACGTACAGACCACTTACGCCAGGTGCCTTGTCGCGCTTGAGGATTGATATCTCACGTTGTATTTCGGTTGTTGATAGCGGGTTGGTGTCGATGTTCCATTCAGGCTTGCTGGGTTCTTCGAGGGCTCCTGTTGAAGGTACCCAGCTGACTTGTTCTTCGGAGTGTTCGGCCCACCGCTGAAGTTGGCGGTTGATGGAGTTAATTTCCGTTCCGTCTTTTCCGCATAGTGTGTCACTGACAACTACATTCTTTTGACCGGTTGATCGAATCAGTTGAAACGGAGCGCGGTTGTTGCCTGCAGTGAAAGCGTTCTCCAGTTCCTGGGCCTTTGTAGTTCACCAGCGTTCTCTTTTATTCTTCAGGCTCCTGATCATCCAATGTTTGAAGGACCGCCGTGCGCCATCACAGTCGTTAGCTGCAGGAGCAGCAATACGATCTACTGATGTTGACGCTATCCAGTGTTCATCTAGTCGAGTCAGTTTGCCTTGACAAACCATTCTGAAATCTACAATGATCGCTTATTTACTCGCTTCCATTCAGCCTCCAGACAATCTAAGTCATCCGCCAGACTGTGTTTCCAGTGGCTTTCTAACACGATCGGCTCGAAACTTGTGAACTACTGCAACTTGTCGAAGTTGATGAACGGAGCTGCCCTCCATTTTGTGATACGGTTCAAACGTAAAACAACGACTAGGGGAGTGGTGGATGCGTTGGTCGTACTGCATCGTTCGATGGGTGAGGAGAGGATGTGGCGGAGGGCGGGTGAGCGAGGAAAGGCAAATGTTACATCCTGGTTGCCCAAGCCGAAGAAGGGAATTTGGTTGAGTTATTTCACCTCGGGCTTTCCGCCCAAAGGTCTAACCCAAAAAGCAGTGGAAGAATATCGAATTTTGTTCTGGCATCCTACCCCTAGCCTCTGACCCAAACGTCTGACCTGCGAGGCTGCGGTTGTTAGGTTGTTGGGGGATCCCTCGCGGAACCAATGACTTAATAGTATGACCCACTTGATCGCAGGGGACCGGCCTGGCCAGAGGACGCAGGAATTAAGGCATTAATGTCTCACTCCTAGTGCGGCTGCGCACAGCAGGTCCCTTTTGAGCAGCACCGGACTCTTTCATTTTAAAAGTTTTTCGACGTATTTGATAATACACCGGTGGTCACGGCCAACCACTGGGCTATCGGGGTGTTCGGGTTTTAGGTCCGAGATTTTTCTAACCCGTCCGTCCTTGGGGGAAGGCAGCATAGCTGGGTCCATAAATATAAGCATGGTGGTCATGTGGGGGAAACGGCTTACTGCCCTCGCACTTCCAGCGCAGAAGACGGTGCGACCTTACCTCCAGACCATCCCTTAATACGACTACTTGGATTACGGATACTCGCTGTTCTTTGTGTGGTTTGCCCCCGTTGACCTTCCTGGCGCAGTTGAACGTTTAGGATAGTAGTTCCAGCCAGTATAGCCGGTAGGATCATTGCAGCATAGAACCCCGACCTCCGCGACAAGGGACATCTTTAGGTCGGGATGGCATAGTGAGTAAATGGACTAAATGGAGCCCGAAGCGCGCGGCCCTGGCAGCGTTGTTGGGGCGTCCGAATCAACTCATCAGCTGGAGGAGCATCAAATTCGTTGCTGATAGCTATTCGGGGTGATTCAACATTGCCAGTTTGATGTTCCCATGATATATGTGCAATGCTTCGAAGGCACCGTTGATCAAAGACAAACTTTCTTATGTTGACTTTGATGCACAGTGACCAGGCTTTACAACTGTGTAGACGCACTTCCGCGTTGTAGACCCTGCCTTTTACTGATAGACTAATATCACGCATTACTCCAGAGGTGACTAATTTGGAAGGAAACATACCGGGTTCTTTATCATTTACTTTGACAGCCGTGCTGCATGAGTACTTACCAGTTAACTCATCCGTCTTCCTTGACGGAGATAACGGGACAAGGTAAACCACTGTTTAGTCATCCTGACAATTGTGTCTATGTCACGCACCTAAAGGCCGTCTTGCATCAAGGCTATCCCTTCACTGCGTAGTTCTTGCCTTGCTGGACAAACGGATGCATTTGTCGTCGTAGATTGGGCCGTCGCCTCCAATATGTAGTTCTCATCCCCTTATTCTCCTTAGGGAGCGAGGTTGCTCAGTGGTTAGAGCTCGAATTTACTGACCGGAAGTCTGTTGTTCAAACACAACCTCTACATCTCGACTTCTCCTGTCTAGCCTTGGGAATCCTGGCAGTATCCCGGCCCTCGTGCTTCCTTCGGGTGGCATGTTAGCTAGACACCGAAGTGGTGTTACAGCTGAGTGATTTCTTGGCTTTTCTTGTTCCCCTTATCCTCGGTGAACAAAGCTGTACCACCTGGAACCACTGCATTCGCAGCGCTGCTACTGTTATCATGTTATATTACCTTTGATTAGCTCATTCACAGAAGGCCTTTTGGGTTTGCGGATTAACTAGAACAGGTTCCGTGCATTTGCACCCCTCACACCTTTTGAATTTGCTGGTTTTACCACGCATCCCTTTCCACACACAAACAACGTATGATCTGATGTGCAGTTGATTATCGATCATCAAGGCTTCATCGGGACCGTCCTGAGATCCAATGGTTTCCGTGTACGAACACGAACGGAGATACAATAGTCAGAGATTCCAGCACCACATGTAGGTGGCATTGTCCATTCCCAGTTACATTCACCATCCTACGAGCAGGTTGCTTGCGATGCATTGCGTAGTAGTCTTTCATACGTCCCTTTGACTTGTGCTTCTGTACTGCTAGGAGAGGAGCTCATCTCTGGCGTTTGGTGAGAAAATTTGACGAACATTTTGAGTGTGACCTGAATCAACCTGTTTTCCAGACTGATCGACAGTCGAAGACTGAAGCGTATCATCGGTATTTGATGGGTTGGTGCACGGTTGTATTTTATGCCTCCTCAAAGAAGCCTGGGTCAGTTTGATGCGACTCACAGTATGGGTGTGTTACAAAACAAACTCATCCGAATGTTACCGATTATCGCGTTTGGAAAAGTCACTTCTCAAGCATCCTTTCGAGAAATCAAATTTTTAGATCAAAGGGGCTAGATCGCTTCCAAGGAATGGCCTTAGTTCAATGTTCCAGGGTTCGAGCGTCTGGAGATGTAGTCGCCTCGGAATGGTAGAGGCTAGCACTAAGTTTCCTTCCCCATCGATTGTTGTCTTTTTTCTCCACACTACGGATTTCAAGTAAATTAAGGTCATACGACAGTGAAACATGAGTTTTGAACACTGTTATGCTGTTGACGATTATATTGATAACTGGATCGCCAAATACCGATACATTTATTCATCTAGGCATCCTTTCTGATGACTCAGTTCATTTTGCTTCTGATAGAAGATTTCAGATTGCACACTCTTTGTGTACGTGATCTATCATCTTACCAGCTCAAACTCCTTTTTTATTCAGGACCCCCATTGATGCGGCTCCGCCGAGCCATGGGGTTCGGTGTGCTTTCGATTTTCGCCAAGACTTATGTGGACTTCATGGATAAACATCCCAATTTCGAACTTCCACGGTTTGGTGAACACAACCCGTCACCGTATTTGAGTTTGAATCACCGGTGGATGAACCCGGAAGCAAAGGAACAAGAACGCGAACTAGAAAGATTCCTATGATGCGTTCGCCGGACGTTGATCGATAGTAGTCAAAAACCCCTGTTTTTCTTCTCGTCATTTTCAGAAATACATAGTGACAACTCATGTTATCAGCTTGTACAACTCTCACCATTGTGGTTCGGCAAATTGTTTGTGGGCGTGCCAGGTCTTTTACCCCACAAAATTCAATTTTCATGCAGAACTCGAGCGATTTAGCAAAAGCCTGATATAACTGTGCGCGCAATGCATAGCATGGATTTTTAGCGGGAACTTAGGTTGGACGCGTTTTTCCACTGATGGGCCGTCCTAGTTTGACCGAATTTGGTGGGTAAAACTGGATGCGTCGTCGAATGCAAGGCACAAAAAATGGATGAATAGTCCTCATCATCGATAGCACTACGTTGATGTTCACTGCTGTCTTCGAGTTACCATATGACAATATTTTACTATGAGTGAAGAAAAAATAAGATGGACTGGGACTTTATAAAAACCCTGGGGTTCTAGGGAAACCAGACAAGAATAAGTTACTCACCAATGCACACAGGTGAGTATCTGATCAAGCGAAACACGATCAGCTGATGATCAGCTGTGATTTCCCCTCTACCCGTTGTTTCGCCCGGAGATGTGATCATTTTATTGGTATTTGATGCATGTTGTGGGGTTTGCGGGGTGTGTATTGTTCACATTCACATCACCCTCATTTGGACAGTCGTCCTCCTGTCCTGGCGCAATTATTCTGGTAAATCCACACCAACACCAAACGGGGGGGGGGGAGCACTGGACTCGAGTTTCGCTCTTATTAGAGCTCATCAGCAGTGCATATCCAACAGCCGTGCCGGGATTCGAACCCGGACATCTGACATGCGAGGCGAGCGTGTAACCACTGCTCCACCAACCCACGTTGGACGCATCTGAATTCTCACTTCTGAATGCCTGAGCGTGAACAAAATTTCCAATGGAGCTTGTGCTGGCCGGCTCACTACAACTGAGTAATCTGCTGTTGTATTCGTATACTTCAACTTTCATCCTGTGATTAGTTGACACGAATACGTTTAGCCACTGTCCTTCATTATTGAGGGTTAAAACCGGAGGTTTGTCAAATTTGGACCATTTTAATCCCCGTCCAACGTGAGGAAGAGTATCAATCTAGCGGACAAGTACGGATTTTCTCGCTATTCATGTGTCCTGTCCCGTAATTGTAGCACCATAAGACAGCATCTCTAATCAGGCACTCATCCGCATTGACCGATGGATGTCGGCAATTCCGATCGTTGTTCTAAGGGTTGAGGAATGTCAATTCAGATTTCATACGGCAAATGAAGTAACTATATGATGAAAAACCAACTGTCTCATCCTTGTTTGAAGTAATCAGTAGTGTGCATCTCACGAAGTTCTACGTAGTAAACTAGCAAACGGGCGGATCTTCAGACAGGGACAGTACTGAACCAGTGCGAGGTGGGAACAGCGATGGACAAAACTGATTTAACTTCTGAATCCACTCACTTGCTTCTTCAATTCGACTTGTCGCTATTGTGCTTCGCGCACCTAGCCTTCTCACTAACGCAGGGCTTCGCTGCAACACATGAACCGTGCAGGCACTTCAGGGCGATGCGCTGAAGCGTGATTTCACGATGATATCTCTGCTAGGTTAGTCTTTACTCATCAGTTTCAGGAATCGCAGGCTTAAGCACAAACGAATTCGATATTTGTCTCAAACCGTTGGCCGCACAAAGATTTCTTTTTCGCTTGGTTGTTCCTCTAACTTTTTCTGGGTTCACGTTTCTGTCATTTTTCGTTGCTATTCTCTAAAGTTGTATTGCCTGAATTGGCCGCCCATCAACCTTTCCATGCGCTGCACCATTTGCCATTTGTGCGGAATGATATGAGCACGTCAGCTTGTTTCATAGTTCTAAACGATGTCGACTCTCCCAGAAAGGTTCGACATGCTAACATCTCCGTCTGAGTTGTACTACACGCTTCATTTATATTTTCAGCGCAACATGTTTGTTGTGAACTCTACGAATGGTGTGGTCCTATTCTGGTAGTGAGTCAGTTCTGGCTTCATGTCTGACTCGGATCCCGTTGCCGGCCATTCGGGTGACCCTGATTTCAAAAGTTCATTAGCCATCGATGCGGAGCAGCCGCCTCCATCGCTGCCTCCACGTGTACAGCGCTACGGAAGGTCCACACAGCCACATACAATCCTCTCTCCGGAAGCTTCCAGCAAAAATTCTGTGGCATCTAGCACTGTCTACGTAGAAAGAGCTGGTAGCTCTCCTCATCGAATCGGAACAGTGTGTGAGTCAAAATTGTGGTAGCTGACTGAACATACTTTGGGCGCTCGACTAAAAAACTAACCTGGTCATTCCAGGGCTTTTTTCGTCAGAATTGGATTTTCAGATACAACAGTGTTGCCACATGTATCTCTAGAAAATTGAGGAGAGTTTCGGCCGTTGTAGTTGATGTCAGTTCTAGTATGAGCAATGGGGTTGAGGGAAAGCACATTGAACAGATTTCCACCTCAAACTTCAACCCTTTTCAAAAGTGACCTTGCAGTAGCAGAGGAGCGTTTTGAATCGATATTTAGCGTTGGCAGCTAATGGCTTGCCAACACACCTTAACACAGATTGATGAAAACAGTGCCAAGAACCGGAGATGATTGAATATTTGCCTCTCAATATTTAACTCAGATTCTGATCGGTTTAAGATAATGAAACGCATGTTTCAATTGAAAATTAGTTTGCGTCTTTACCAAAAAGGAGCGTTTAATCACAGAGTGAGTAAACAAATCTCACGACCAACAATGGCAATAAGCATCGTTGTTTTGTACCACCACTGATTTGCTGCAAACAAGAGATTCAGCTGGGTTCCAGGTGAGTCTCTTGTCAAAACAAAATTGGTATGCAAATGGATGTGGTTCGTTAATTTCGTGCAATTTGGGTTCAAGGAGAACATAAGGTTGACGGAAACTCGGAGACTGCGCCTACCTGTTGAGCGCCAGGAATGGCGAGACCGGTCTGTCAAAGATTTTTCAGCAACCTGATAGGTAGTGAATTAAGCCTAGACTGATTTTCTTCCTTTTGGTATGTGTGTCACGTAAGTTGCCACTTATTCAACATGTGTGACTCAATGGGAATAATGGAAATTGTGTTTCTGCTCTCTAAATAAACGGTTGCGAGCTGGTTGCCTTGCGTCCTGTAATGTGCGTAGGTTGACTCATCGAGGTGAGGAAATAACTCCTCTTGTGGGAACATTTTCTAGGGGCACGAAAATATCTTCCAAGTAGGGATCTTTTGTTTTACTGAAGTTGCTCGACTAAATTTCATTTTTTTTACGGATGATGTTAACAGCTTTTATCGCAAAAGTATGAGCTATTTCACGGACTGAATATCCCAATTTCCATCTTAAGTGTAATGGACCTGTACTGACCCATGGTGAATCTGAATGTTGGTTGCCAGTATAGTTTAGGTGTAGGTGCGTTGCCGAAATCGAATAAGAACTGCAGATGAGTATGACATGATGTGTTTTACTTTAAGTTTACTTTAAGTTGTTCTAACCGAGAACTTGATGAATACCGAGTTATTGTTCATTTTAGCCTAATTTTTGACTGCGCTAGTTTTACACGGTATCCAAATCGCTGCATACACGTGTTGTCGGGTTAAAGCCGTCGGTTGTGTCCAGTCCAGTTAGATCCAGAAGATTTTGCCGGTATCGTAGGCTTGTATACTTGGGAGTTTTCAATTATCCTAAATCCAGATCAACCGGCAAAAGTCCTCTTCGGAAAAGGACAAGACTGAAACAGCGGTTTCAGTCTGGTTGGCGTCGAATGGTCGAAATCGAAAGAATTCAATACCGCAGAATTAGCTCCCCCAAGGTGACGTTTCCTGTTTGTTTTGTGCGCCGGTTGGACGACGCTTTGGAATGTTGACGGTATGAGCTGTTCCAAAGCGTCTTTCGACTGGGTATTGTCCGTGTTCTACTGTTCACCTGATTTGGTGATCGCTCACACCAGCTTGAGGTGAGATGAAGGGGTTGGCTGCTTTTGGACCGAATCTATACGGTCCAGCTATCCTGTCAACAACCAGCATATCTGAATAGTGGTGTTTCACTTTCAGTCACAGTATTTTATTTAGGTAGTGTTTTTGATTCTTTTTGTTTGCTGGGGTCAGACCTCCAGCCCGTCTTTTGCTAGATAGACTACTACCCGTTCTTCGAATCTGGCCAGTTTGTCTATGTGGCTGTTTATGTGACCCAACTACTTGGAATAACGCTTGCAAAAATGTGCTTTGTCATTTGCTATCTTTATTCTTATCCTTGGTTCTGTCTATATGGCCAGCCGTCGTTTTGTCCCTTTGCATTCCCTGTAGCATTTCCCCAACCATCCAGACCGCATCGTTTTACCCGTGTCTCTGTCAGTTGTCCGATAATTTGTCCGCTCTGCAACGATTATGTCATCACGCCGCGCTGCTCGGCCTGTCAGTGCACGTGTTGCAAATCTATCTTCCACGCCAAATGCTCTCGATTAGTCGCTGTTCGGGGAGATCGTGTGCCGTGTCTACGACAAGATTCTACCTTATCCCAGAAATCAACAGAATCATCCAGCTCTACCCAGTCTGTGGTTATAAGTGATGGCCCTTTCTACCATAGGCCTCCAGCTCGTCTTTTGCTAGATAGGCTGCTACCCGTTCTTTGAAGCTGACCAGTTTGTCGATGTGGCATAAAATAACCTATCTTTATTCTTACCCTTGGTACTGTCTGTATGGCCACCTGCCTTTTTGTCTCTTTGCATTCCGTGTAGCTTCTCCCCAACCATCCAGACCGCATCGTTTTACCCGTGTCTCTGTCAGTTGTCCGATAATTTGTCCGCTCTGCAACGATTATGTCATCACGCCGCGCTGCTCGGCCTGTCAGTGCACGTGTTGCAAATCTATCTTCCACGCCAAATGCTCTCGATTAGTCGCTGTTCGGGGAGATCGTGTGCCGTGTCTACGACAAGATTCTACCTTATCCCAGAAATCAACAGAATCATCCAGCTCTACCCAGTCTGTGGTTATAAGTGATGGCCGCTTTCTACCAGGGGTAGCAATCTCCACGTTGGAGCAGGTAAACACTTTTTCGAATGCACTTTTGATCTACACTCACATACGATTCTATGATAAATCCTATAGCCGGCTTTTGTCTGTTATTGGTGTTTGCTTTGCGTTCAACGGAACAGATCACACTTGATTGCTGTTCCTTTCCATTTTTCCACCTATAGCCGTTGATCAACTGGAACGAAAACCAAATCGCCTATTGGCTTTCGGTTGTCGGTCTGAGCAGATTTGTGGTGCTTTTTCTTCGGAACAAGATCAACGGCAAAACTTTGGTCCAACTGGCTCCCTACTCCTCGCTCCTCGATCAGGTGACTGATCCGTTTGCCAGACAGGCACTGCGTCGGGCAATTTTTGCAAGTTTGATTTTGCTTATCTGTTTTTGTGCTGTGCAGGACATTTTAGTCCTTAAAAACGTTGTAAGGTAGAATGAACTGTCTTTCCTTCCTGACATGCCGGACTGCTTGTTGTGTAAATCCCATTTGTCGTATGCTTTGTTCGAGAGGTTGGAGCAACACTGTCTTTGCTGGTAAAACACGTTGAACTGTAGGGCAGGCTGGACTGGGAATCGTGTAACGGTTCTGTTAGGAAGCGAAGCTATTATTCTAAACAGGGGTACCAATAATACATCCAAAATTTAAAAAAAATCTACCAAAAAATTGTCTGTCGTTACAGGTACCAACGGACGAACAAATGTCGGGGAATTTGATAATATGCAGGTCCATAAAACTATGGATTCAAGTAAAGCACATCTACTCAGAAAATTCAAGCTGACACCCATGAGTTTTAAACAAGCACATTGTCACTCTTGAATAGGGCGGATCACGTGGTCGATGTATATCTGTAAAGAGGTGGACATACAGTACGGCGTTTACTATGCTACCGTGGCATAATACATACAATACCCTGGTTCATGGGCAGAACTAGATGTCTACGGGCATCCCCCCAGATTGTTGATAGAAGAATGACGTTTTTGTAAGGTTAGCTGTGAAAAATCCATTTGTGTTGAGTACCCAGCCGTGAACGTACAGCGGTGGAGCTATCAGGACGAAATAAGTTTTGGCGTGGTCGGCTGGTGACCTTCAGACGCCTAATGACATTCCCATGACAGACGTTCGGGTAAAATTACCGTTAAGGGGTTTACGCCCACGAGAGGAACTAGGAAAGGCTTCACCAGTTGGACCGCATCATCGCAGGATCGGTGGCCGTCACCTTCGGGATGCGGCTATCAATGAATTGTCCTTAGAAGGGGACACGAAAGACGCTTAGTTCCACGATCGGACACAAGTCTGGATCTAACCAGTTTGACAGTCATCGACATATGCGGTGGTTGGACGCCCTGAGTTACTGTTCGAAGGACTGCATTGGTGGTCATCGCTTCCCATCGTGTTACATTCTCGTGGCTACGCTCCGTTTTTGTTCAGGTCAATTTCTTCGAGTGGGGTCCCTCAAGTTAACCTTCCACTTTGGCTCTTAGAAAATTAACCATGGACCCACTCCATTATACTCAAAATACTCCAAAATACGATTAACGCTTTGCTCTTGGAGCTCTATGGCCTTCTTCATAGCACACAATCGAGCCTGCCTTCTTTGTTCTTTCGTTTTTACCATTTCTAAGGCATGTAGACCTACAAATTAACTTCGAATGGCATTTTGCGACGCTTAAAGCTGATGCATGTTGCTTCAGCAACACTTGTATATGGCAACAGTGTAATTGTTTGCCTGCTATTGTCGTCTGACCTTAAGGCTCAGTTCAATTTGCTTTTTTTCTGGAGATTTCGCCGACAAAGACACCGGTCAGGTGGATGTCGATGTTGTTTTGAGTTGGCCTGTTGAGACTACCCAGTTGGGCTGGATTTTACCCGTCAGTCGGTGACACCTTGTGAGTTCGCGTAGAGCAAGTGGCTGTTCACTCCGAAATCGTGCGTCTTTCGTTATTTACTCATAGGGGTGTGATCACCATCCCCCGTTATCCAGGTTGAATCAACGTCTGCTTGGTCTAATCTGCTGAGGATCCAGGTCAGACACCGGGGGTACGAGTTCTTCTGTCTGGCGTTAAGCGCTCAAAAAAGCCCATTCAGAACGCTGTCTGCCACGACATTGTCCGACCGGACAACACAGCCACCTTTTCTCTATTTCATCTGCCCATCGCCATATTTTCATTCTCATCAACACAGATTCTGATAGATAACGATGCATTTAGCTACATGTGGCTAGGTTATGTTTTGGCCTATCGTGCGCTGACAGTGCCAAAGAATTCATTGTACTGGGTGAACGTGCCCGGCCGGAACAAACTTTTCAATCTTGTTTTGATTCACAGGTAGCAATACAACATCTACCCCTATAGTCTGGTTCTGGACCGAACATTTTAATTTACGGTAGTCGCGGTTGAAATTTGCTACGTATCCGTGTTCAAACTAGACTTAGAAAAACTCACTGCATATCAAGTGGGCCTCTGCTGTTACTCAATGCTTGTGCGTAACAGCACATGTATAATTCCGGAACGTGGGATTGCATCGTAAGGCTTGGTGATGAGATTGTGCATCTGAGATGAAATCGCCGCAGCACTCGGAGCTTTTCGAACACTTCTTCACCATGGGCATGTAGCGTGTGCAAAGCGACAAAAATATCCTGAATCTGTGCGAAAATTTGGAATTGCACACACAACCTTTGAAGATGGTTGGAATATCGGGCTAAAACTTTCATTCACAGTTCGATTGGACGTCAGCGTCTTTGCCAAACGTCTGACCTTGGCACGTTTTTTGGAAGCTTCAACTGAATAGAAAGTTCACAGTACTAGATGCTATTGGGCGCCGGGTACTGATGCACTAGTGCTTGTAGGAAACCTGGCGTTTTTGTCCTCCACTTTTTTGCATGAAGAAATTGTCCTTTGTTTATCCTTTTCCTAAGTGGAAGAACTGCAAATCTGTCGTACCAGCTTTCGATGGATCAGTCTTGTCCGATGGCTCAAGTGATTAGACTGACCGGAAGTTCCGTGGTTTGTACCCGACCTCTGCCTTTCGGCTTCCCCTGTCTACGCTTGGGCGACCTGGTAGTATCCCAGCCCTCGTGCTTCCTTCGGGTAGCATGGCAGCTAGGCACTGGAAGGGTCTTACAGCTGGAAGGTTTTTAACTATGCTTGTTCGTTCCCGTGGATTACAGTCCCTGGCTGACTACTTCTACGTTTAAGTAGACAGTGTCACGCTGTGTTTTCATCGATTGGTTCCCATTGCTGTGGATGTTTTGTGAAGCGCGCATTTTTTCGGGTTTTTAAATTGTACAATTCACACTACGAATGTAGATCGCTTTTACCCACTTTATGAGCTAGCTAACTGTATCCAACCGCCCATGTTTTACAGGAATATACTCAGACTCAAACTTCATGAAAAAATTTTTTCTCCATACGTAACGAAGGGTCATTCTTGAGGAGTTCTCTCCATCGGACCTCCTCTATAACATTCACCGTCGTTCTCAGGCAAGGCAATCTTTGTAGTTGATGATTGCTGGACGACCGTGGATGTTGAAATGCGTAAACTGGAACGAGTTTTATCGGATACTTGTTCGATATAGATCGTGGGTGACTGACAGACTGCTGTTGGTTCCTACCATTCCTTTCCGCCATTTTTCAATTCCATTAACGAGGCGACGTCATTACGTGGTTTTCTTGGAATTGAACACTTATCTTCACTTCGTCAACAGCATTTACCGCTTGGTGACTCGTTTTGCTAGCCATACTGAAAGAATAAACTGATTACTTGGATTTTGAAAGTAGCGAGGTTTTTGGCAGATTTAGCCTAGAGCAACTTACCGTTCCCAGTGAATGTGCTGTCAATTTGGCACTAGATATTTGTAGTATAAATCATTCCCTCTATAGTCGTGTTAAACGTTTGACTTTGGTTTTCAGGTTGGGAATTTTGTGCTTGGCGTATTTGACCACTTTAATGCTAAAACCAATTTTCTTCCCCCGGCATTTGTTGATTTAGGTTCTTTCTGGCAGCCAACCCTCTCCGGGGGACGATTCCACGTTGTCGACCGAGGTGGATGGTACTGGGAAGAAACTCCTGTTGAAACCAGAAAGTCAAGTTCCACATCACTTGCGTGTTACTTCTTTTTTGCAAGAAGTTGCGTGCGCAAGTTGTACTTTACCACTACTAGGTGAGTTCTTATTATTGTCGCCTAGTGATAGGGTTTCTCAAGGTAGATTAGATTCCACTGCCCTTTTACAATGGACTTCCTTGTATACTCTTTTTGGACGATGAGCATATTCGCCTTTCAGTTCTGTTTGTACGTAGTGAATCTTTTCACACAGTATCCTATGTGCATTTCATTGGTCTTGTACGATCCTGTGCTAAGGCTGTGATCTCAAAGCAAGGACTAGGTTACTTAGCCTAAACGCACGATCTAGGTGTCCTGTCTGACAGATAACGTGTAGCCTAATTCACCAACAGACGGTCAGTAGGAATTGCGGCGAAACCGAATTCTACGAACTTCACCTGCGTTTGTTCAGTAGTCGCAGTTGGGCAGTGAACAATATATTGAATTGGACTTGGGCGGACAGTACAGATAGGTAAACCGTAGTTCTATAGGAAACTAACAGTAAATTAAAGAGAAAAAGAAAAATTAAAGAGAAAAAATTAAAGAAAAGCTTACGGCTAGATTGAACCTTGGGCAGTTAGCAACACAGGATGGCACACGGAGGGCAAATGAAGCGGGAAATTTGTTCAGTTCAAAATGGGACAAAATTTCACCAACAAGTCCATGGATAAATGTAAACCACTCGTCTATAGAAACGGTTGAG